ATTTTTAGATGTGATTTCACTGTTATTATTTAAAAGGAAAGGCTTGCAACTAAATTTAAATAAATTTCAGTGACTTTATTGAGAAAATATTCTAAAATGTCACAAATTGTAGGTACAATATCATGTTTCATTCCAAAAGGAGCTAAATCCACGAAAAATAAAAATCTAAAAATTAATAAAAAATCAGAAACAACTTCTAGATTTTTTAAAATCATATATTATTGGTCCAGGTTGACACATTTAACATATATAACAGCATGAAGGTACATGGCTGAAGGGAAAGTGGAGAAATAAAAAAAGTCGATTTACTCAGAATTACCCAAGGTGGATTTAGCTCCTTTTGGAATGAAACTCTTCAAATATGGACCAAGTTATCCTACATTCACTATGACAAGCTTTCTTACTACGCCAAAATGACGAAAAACTTCATTGTTATTATTACCATGATAATTATTTATTATTATTCATATCATCATTATCATTATAATCTTAGTTAATTGTTTTCAGCACACAAATGGGTAATGGATTAATTCGTTATTTTGACTTTTTTTTCTTCCTGACCCGCATTTTGTTTAATAAAGACAATGTCAGTGATGTACTTAATAATCATATCCAAGACATACGAAATTCAAATGTTGATAAAGTCGACCCAGTAGGAAGACACGCGCATCGCGGGGGAGGCGGCAACACTTATATTCTAAGATCGTATTTATTTAAAAAAATTCCTTAATCAAATCAATAACCTGAGATTGTACAGGTGTTTTTGACCCCCACATAATCTAATTTTCCATCCAATATACTATTGAAATCACCTCCTAATAAAACTAAATAGTCCCGATCACACTGATCAACAATACTAAGATAGCTACCATGTCCGTCCCTCCCACTCACACACGCACACACGCACGCACGCATTTATTCAACCCTGAACCCCACACTCTCAATACCCCCAGATATACGCAGCCGTTTGCGCGGTATCGCCTCGACGCCAACAACCTTTACCCCACCATTCAATCAAGGCTTGGAGCCAATATCCTGATTTAGCCATCACGACCTTGTCTTCCATCTGTTGTTCCATCTCATTGATTTCTACGTTTCTGATGTCATATCGTAATCCGTTAATCTAATTTGAAACCATTTCAATTGCCTAATATTCTTGACCCTTTGTATAAATTAGTTATCATGTAGGCGTATTAAAAGTAGCATGACTTGTTCTCTCTCTCTCTCTCTCTCTCTCTCTCTCTCTCTCTATCTCTCCTGCTCTCCCTGTCATTATGCCTCTCACTCTCTCTCTCTCTCTCTGTATCTCTTTCTCTCTTTCTCTCTCTCTCTCTCCGTCTTTTTCTTTGTCTGTATGTCTTCTCGATGAGAAGTACACCGTGCACAAAACTGCATTTTTAGCTTATTAAATATCATTCGTTAATTTAACTCATTCGCACAAATTGATTCGTGAATACTTACTATTTACAAAATCTATTTTTGCACTAATAAATCACGTAGTATCTAGAACGTGAAATGATAGAATTACAAAATGGTTAATATTACATAAAATAAACTTAACCTAAAATTAATTTCATCCATTGGTGCATATTTCGTTTTAGGACATGTGGCGGATTTCCGATCATAATTTTGACACCGGAAACAGCTCTTGGATCCGAAGAAAAGTACGGTTGCATGACGTATTAACGTGTGTTCATATCATTTTTATAGCACTGTAATCCGTGGCAAAAAGTCGTGGCGGTTCTTTTGTTTTGTATGTGTAAAATGAAGGGCAACTGAACTTGCGCGTATCAACTGAACTTTGTGTCATAAGATACATAGATTTAAAGCCAATTACACTTTACGTCATTAAGAGAGAACCGCTGCGGTTTACCGCTTCATTATTTGAACTTAAGCCCCACTGTCCTACTTGTAGCTACTTGCTCCCTCTATATAGAAAACTTCCCCAATCGGTGCCTGTTGGTCCCCCATGATCCTCTATTCCTTATGTTATTTGAGAGCTGAGTTGATGAGATAGCCACCTATCAGTGACCTCGCTGTGTGGTCTAATCCCCCATAGCCACACTAGTGTTGATAAGCTTTAAAGCGATGGTTGAGTCGTGGTAAGGGCGAAACAAAAAATTGCGCCTTTTCTCGTTACATATCTCATTCTCTTGTTTATGAAAAAATGCACTGTAGTGATTCTATATTTCAAAATATATATTGTAAATTCATGCCAAGATCGCAAAGGTTTTAGTGGAATCATAGCAAAGGAATTTAGATACGTCAATGGGTATGCCCTATAATTAATTGGATTACGTAATACACCCTTGTTATGTTTGCATATTTCATAAGGTGATGAATGGGATGAGGTGATGGATTGCCTTTGGCTGATATTCTGAAAAGTCTTTGGAATCGCGCTGAACAGATTTATCTTTCAATATATTTTAAACTTTCATCCCTAATTGATGTTTTATTAATTAACATGCTTACGCACCATATGCTGCTGTTTCATTTTTTCTAGGAATCATTTTGCGTCATCAAATATTAAACCATAGATAAGGCATGTAGGTTATATTAAATTCACCGTTTTAATTTGAAATACTGTAGTATCTTCATTTTAAATTTCTCCTGGTTTGACTTTGTTGTATTTTGCAGGATCAATATTTTAATTTCTCTCCTTAGGATTATGTTTTTTGTTTAAAGTTATACTTTTGAACACATTATTATTTCACATTTTTTTCTCTCGATTCCATGATACTGTTTAAAGAAGCCTTTATGTGTTAAACAAATTCCAATTAGTTTGTATCAATGCCACACATATTGGAATAAATCCAAGTTCACTTGAAATATGTTTAAGGAAACAAAATTAACAGATTTTGTTATTGTTACGCATTTGTATAGCTCAAGTTAAAAAAGATCAATACTTTTTTTTCTCAAGCGAGTATACACGAACATTTTGCATTTCACTATTTATCAAATGAACCGTCATAAATGCAGAACTTTATCATTCTTTCAGCCATTTACCAATCACGAAATCCTAAGCAATAATCATATTTGACTTTTCAACGAAAACAATCCCTTTTCCGACAGCTCGATTTCAAACATTTATGAAACTCTAGGGAATCTAAAGGACGTCATCAATGGTAGCATTGACTTTCATATACATTCTGGATATGGAAAATACGGTTTTATCGCAAACACAAAAGGTATCACTTCAGCACTTACTAGATTTTAGGTTTCAACATGTACGCATTGTCAGGTTGAACTAGTCTCGTACATGAAGACCCCTTGGACATATACATTTTATGTTTAGATATCTTATATCAGTAAATGATAAAGGATAAAAATAATTGATGAAGAACTGACGAACGTTATAATGTTTGACTTTAATGGTAATTAAAGTATCATTCCATTAAGAAAGAATCATTGATTTTACTTTTCGGACTAGATGAAAGCGTAAAATATGAGAAGATGTACATATTTGCCACATGATTTTTCATATTCATAAAATGGTATTTGAGATTATTTTTTCCTCTTCCGGTGGTGTGTTAAATCCAGACACATTTTGATAACGATACAATGAATTATCCAAGCGTTATTATCCTGGTTAACATACTTGCTTTAAACAGGAGATTAACATTCGTAAAAAGAAACTGTTTAAAAAAAAACATAAATAAACTTGATGATACGTGGCCTTTTTAATCGGACGAAAGACTAAATTCGTAGTATTTTTCAGAAAAAATGTTGATTCGCCTATCGCTACAATGCCAACACATCGCGGTCGGCAATGTAATGAAACATGGTTCATTAACCAATTATGCAAATGAGTTGTTGAGAGCAATAATGTTTCAGTTACGTTTTCTACGTAGTTATGACTCAGTTTTAACCACAACAAACAAACGAAAAATTAATTTTCCCAGAATTTGAAGGGGCTGAACGATTTTTGACTAACACATCGAATTAAGGCCATATCGGAAATATACAGATCAATATTAAAATAAAGGACCATACCTCTCTTAATTAAGTTCATATTATTTTGAAATGTGTTCTGAATTGAGACAAACGGAAATGATTCGCTTTACAACGAGGCACGAAACTATCTTGTTTTTGTCACCCAACTCTCTCTCTCTCTCTTTCTTTCTCTCTCTCTCATTCTCACTCTCCTTCCTTCTATATCGCTCCCTGTCACCCTTACTATTCTTTATTCTTCTGAATATATTTCCCTTTTATTCGTAATTCTCTTTTTTATACTCTAATATTATTTATTGAACCCATTTTTATTACATTGAACATTCAAGAAAACATGTGCTATAAATGTATTTACCGATCCAGAACCCATGTTTATAATATCAAGTATATATAATTTCTAAACATATGAGTCGATGTTATCGGTCTTGAAACGCCAATAATGTCCATTCAGCAACAAATAATGCAAATATAAATAATAGGCAAATAATTAAAGCGACAACGACAACAAGATCTGTAATCTTTATTGATCCTGGCGAATCGCCCTCCTCATGAAATCAAAATAGAAACCTCCTACAAGCTCTTTTTTATTTTGTAAAATAAAACTAACTGTTTTCAACAAAGTGTATATATATAAATATGTATATATAATTAATATAAATAAATTTGAATATGCTCTCCAAAATATATGTCAAATGTATGAAGGAGTGTAATGCATTGAATCAATGTGAATGTTGTGGGTGTTTTAATGAGAAAATTATTGTCGCGTAGCTTACTCAACCCCACCCCCTACAATATCACCGCTAAAACAAAAAATGCTCATTTTCAAGAACAAAGAAACTGTCATAAAGATGCGGATATTTCCATCCATCTTTAAATTCAGGGGGCTTCACAATAATACGCAATGTTTTGCTCATCGCCAATGAAAGCGCGTCAGAAATTCTTATTAATCCGCCAAAGCGGGTCGCGACACAAGCATTGCGCATTGATGCGTGCAGCGGGGTAATATAAACCCATCTCACCGCCGAGCTGAAGACAGACAAACGGAGAGATACAGCGACTGGCGGTCAGCCTCAAACAAACTTATACCATCAATTTTCAGAAAATAAATCACATTTAAGACCCAAAAGAGGACACAACAAATTACCAGAACTGGACATCTGTGCAGGGATTTTCGTCTTTTTTTAGTTTTAGTATTTTTGGTTCTATTTTTTTCCTGTGCGAGGAGAGGAAGGATTTTCAACTAAAGGTAAGAGATTAACCGATGTGATGATTTGTGATGGTCATTTTAGGTAACGTGAGGGCCAGAGAACAGTTTTATCGTATAGCGGGAGGGGCTTGCATCTTGTGCCAAATACAGACCTGAATTCTTAAAGTTTTTTAAAACAATATCGAGAGAGAGAGAGAGAGAGAGAGACAAAGAAGACGTATACGCTTCGGTTCTCTCGAGATTATGAAAGGTGGCAGCAGTCAATTATGCATTATGATTCCATTCTTATTGTGCTAAGTGGTAATCATTTAATTTTTGCAAGATATAAACGATTAACAAGCTCTACGTTTCTGCCCGAATGTTGGATTATGGATGTCCAAATACAATTCTTAAAGGAATATTTGTATCAATCATTAATTTGTTTACCTCGTAGTTTTGCCCGGTCTTGTATTTATTTTAATTCTAACACAAGCACAATGATATTTAAAAATACAAAGTCAAGGGCAAATGCTTAACTATATGCATGTTGATTTATATACAAAAAATAAACTCAGTTGATTCTTTGGAAAAACCTAACGATATGCCTCCACAATTAACTGAATGTTCACTTATTTTAATTCCTTTGCTTTAATTGGTTTTTTTGTGTGTTAGTCATTTGTTTTTCTTATGGTAAAGTGCATTGAGCAATGTTATATTGAATTTTGGATTTGTGGATGTTTTTTGTTTTGTTTGGGGTTTTTTACACGATAATTTTGGACTGTTATTTCGTTATCCCTTTCCTTCCCCGTTACCAATGTTTTTTTTCTTATAAAAAAGCTTTTGATTTTTCTCACAAATTCATTTTGTTAATATCCTTTTTTTATAAATATCATTACTGCACAAATAATACGATTTGTCTGATAACGCGGATACTATAATTAGTACAATTAGACGGAGCAAATAGTGACAATTGGTGCGTTTCATCATGTCTGCACAATAAGTGGTGTACCTACAGGGGGGGGGGGGAACGAAGAACACGAGTCATAAGTCAGGGTAAGCCTATAATGGGGTCCTTGCCCTATCTATAAACTCCCTAAAATCACTTAATATTTTACAGTCCAACGATTAGCGAAGACTCGAAGTGTAGATTTTTCTGTATGTCAATTGAACATGTGTTTTGACCTCTGTGACAAACAACATACAGTATAATTATGGTCATCATAATTTCAGAACAATATTTATCTCAATATGTGTAAAGGGTAGTAGTAGAAGTACTAGGGGTAGCAGTATTAATAGGAAGAGTAGTGCAGTTGTTGAAGATTGTGCTCTATTATTAGTAGTTGTAGTATTAAAAGTAGTAGTACATGTGAAACTGTCTATAAAGACCACTCAAGGGAGACAAGCAAAATGGTCCTTATAAATAGGTGGTCTATATGTACAGGTTGCTTTATTACACGTTTTAATGAGAAACCGTTTCAGAGGAAACAAAAAGATGTGGTCTTTGTAGACAGGTGGTCTTTCTATACAGGTGGTCACTAACTCAGGTTTTACTGTAGTAGTAATATTAGTAGTAAGTAGTATCAGTAGGAGTAGTAATAGTCATAGTAGTAATATAGGAAGCAGTAATAGTAGTAGCAGCAGCAGTTAAAATAATAGCTTTTGTTGGCGTGTACGTAGTAGTCGTCGTTGTATTAATATGAAAAACATTATTTCATCATATTTTTAAAATTCCAAACCTCAAAGAAAGAAACGGTGTTGTTTTGGGAGGTGTACGAGACTATACTTCACCGAATAACCGAATGTCAACTCGACAACAACAAAAAAATCGGTCTCGTAAGCCTTCGTTCTCTCAAATCTTCTTATTTAAAAGAGCTTTTCCAAAATTTTGGTTTAGGGCTACATATTATGGATAACCCGCCCATTTTGCGTGTTCATTCATAAAGAATGACTGAATTCCCTATGAGAGAAAATACTGAATCACGTAACGGGCTGTTGGAGTTCTGAGTTTTCATTAGAGCACTTTAATTGATCGGGTTATGTTGTTTATCATTGCACTTGATCATTGTAATCATTCTTCCGTTTTATTTATTCAATGCCATGCACTTGTCACTTTTGACATTTGTTTGCATGCATAATGGTTTTCTTTCCATGTTGATGCAGTGCGAATATTATGTTAGAAGACCTTGATGTTTTTGGGGTGAATTTTTGATGGGAGACAATGACATCTTCAGTAGCGGTTCTAAAAGGTGTACGGGGCGCTTAATCCCCTCCCCCTGCCTAATTCGTCTTGATTATAAATTAAGTTCCCTCTAGAACCTGAAAGAAAATGATCAAGATGTGAAATCAAATATATATACAATCTATGAACGAGATGAATTTAGTATAAGGTGATTATGTCTAATTGCTCTGTGTTTTTTTTTGGTATTATATCAGAATGGCCTTTTGAAGAGAGAAATCTGACACACCCTTCCAGACATATAATCTCAATCCGTAAAAACGCCTAATGGCGTCACAAGGACAACCATTTACTAATAATATTTGCAGCAAATAATGACACGGTCACTTCCCCTGATCCTTATCTTATACCTCAGTTACATCAACCAGGCTGATACCAATTCGACAACGGACCGAACCAGAAAAATACATTACTCCTAATGGGCAAATATCGGTTGGTTTTGGATTCGGTATGGTATCGGTTTGGCGGTGTGACTGACTTATTGAGCCTATCAATCAAAGTGAAGACGTCCTCGGTAATGTTAATGCTTCATTAAACGTTCAGAAATACGGGGTAATTAGGAGGAATTGGGAGGTAATGGGGGTAGTACGCGGGGGATACTACCAGTCGATTGATAACGCCCGTGTCTTTCGGTAGTAATTGGTATCTAATGGGACTGAGGATCTTAACTTGCTAACAAATAATTGTTTGTTCACCACCTTAATGTGTCGGTTCTGTTCGAAATAGTCCCTTATCTAGTCGATACAAACGAAACGTAAGGTTTAGAATTGAATGATGGAGAGTGTCAGACAACAGATGTCTAAAACACGAGAAGTATTAGGAGTTTCACTATATAGTATTTGCTCACGAGCTGCGCGTTAGAAACACGATATTCTTTTTTTTTATAGATAGCTCTGCGGCAGGAGCTAAACTACTTTTCTTCCTACCTTTTTCTTCTCTTCTATTTTTTTCTTTCTTCTTCTTCTTGTTCTTCTTCAATCTTCTAAATCGGAAATTATTACAGGTTATTCTAAATCGGATTCAGATTAAAATGATTACTGATGAAGGAAACCTTTTATTCATACGGTGTAGAAATGTAGAATTGATATCCATCGAACTTTGGTATAACTTTAGATTTATTTCTTGTTTCCAAAATGAACAACGGTAAACCATTTCTACTCAACTCTGCTATTTCGGTGATATTTTACGACGTGCACAGTGATTTGCGAAAATTGTACGAGTATCGCTTGAACATTAAAACAAATTGTTATCGCTTCCAATTCAAATATATGGACGTCTGGTATGGAATGGGGCATTTCAAAAGGATTACACGACCATTTTGGTGCTCATTCTCACGATTTTCGAATTGCATATTACAAAATCGCCTTCTGTAAATCACAACAATGTCATGGTTATGTTTCCTTAAGAAGACAGCTTTATTTATTGCCTAATCAAATTTTCTCGTTTAAAAAAACATGGACAGTCCATATAAACGGCCTTTACAAATGGCAAACAATGAATAAATTTCTTCCGTTAGGAAATAGAAAAGGTTTAAAATATTGATGAAAAGCCATTAGAAAGGAGCCGTTTCACGTCATGAATGGGCAAATCGTCTTCTAAATGCATATGCTACCGATTTGGTGAAAGAGATATTGAAGTTCATACGATACAATATCCATTATACCATTTCCCCCAAGTTTATTGACCATCCATAACGGAAATGAGAATTTTCCAGCTCAAAGCGGTCACGTTTCAGTTTTAAATAAAGTTAAATGTGCCTAAGTTGTGCCAAAGAAAATAGAAGTAAACAGAAAATTGTGTTTTTAGCATTTTATGATGGCAATAAAAAACGAATTGTCCATTTCTGCATGCGTCAATCATGAAAATAACCTCATTAAACTATAAATAACATTCATAAAATGATGTATTACGAACTATAAAAACAGAATCGTGATCTACACAATCATATATTTCCTTGACATGTCACGGCCAAGAAAAATGTGTTGAGTTGTTAAACATGACTAGTCAGTAAACATGAATGTAATAACGGTTGACATGCATGAAATAAAAAGAAAATACCGTAATTTCATAATTTACGTTCATATATTTAAGCACAACGATAATCGTATATCTCAGATGTAGGTTGTCACCTTTTTAAACTTGTCACCCCCCCCCATTCTCTCTCGCTCTCTCTCTCTCTCTGTCTCTCCCTCCCCTCTCTCTCTCTCTCTCTCTCTCTCTCTCTCTCTTTCTTTCCGTCTCTGACTTTATCTATATTATCTCTCGTTCATTTACATGAAAACCACATGTTTCAATCTCTTGCCACATTATGTAAGTTATACTTATCTTTTATGTTTTTAAATGTTCACACTTCCCTCGTATAGTCCCTCTTTCTCTCTATTTCCCCCCTCTCGCTATCTCTCTCCCTTTCTGTGTATTATACGCAATGAGCATCCACATACAAGTGTTTTTACATCTCCCTTTCTCTCCCCAGGCACACACTCTCTGTCGGTCGGTCTGTCTCTCTCTCTGTCTCTCTCTGTCTCTCTCTCTCTCTTTCTCTCTCTCTCTTCTCTCTCTCTCTATCCTTCTATCTCTTTTCTCTATGCCCCATTCTGTCACTTTCTTTTTACCTCTCTAGGCTCATTCATTATGTATACACATGTTGGTGAGGGTACTGACGTCATAACAAATTCAAGGTTAATTTGGGCTTGCGCGATTGTATATTCATATACATTATCTATTTCCATTCAGAAGAAGTCGCCACCGTTTATGGTGATCACGTGTCTCAATCCGCCATGGACGAACCCGTAATTGCTTTCTCCATCTCCTATCCCTATCTAAT